TGACGAGGCAATCGGTGACTAGGCATACGTAGTACGTGTCCTAACAATCTCAATCGATGAAGGTTCATAATCTCGTCAACCGACCCAACTCTACTCCCTAGAATTCTATACTTGACTTCTGCATTACTCACGTGGTGACACCATGGAATACGGCCTATACTAGGAAGTCAACGGTGGTCAAACACTTGAAGCCTTCTCATGTGTTCCACTTTCAATGGCCATGTTTCACAGCCATACAGGAGAACAGAACGGACTGCTGTGCAGTACACGCGACCCGTAATAGATAATCTGATATCACGGCGACGCCATAGGTGGCGTAAATTGGCAAAAGCCAATCGAACCTCTTGTATACGTGCAGAGATTTCATCGGCCACTGAGCCACCAGGGCTGATCCTACTTCCCAGGTAAGTGAAGTGGTCAACACACTCAACCACTTCACTCTCTATTGTTAGCCGCGGTACCGCTGAAGACCAGTCCTGGAGCAAAAATTTGCATTTGGGTGGTGAAAATCGCATCCCAAACATTCTCAAATTCCCACTCAAAGTGTTCAGAAGACTCTGCATCTTGTCAGCGTCTTCACCTAACAGGACTATGTCATCTGCATATTCTAGATCTAACGAAAATTCTCCTGTGATTAGGTCAACCTCTGTGTAATTAGGTGACGAGAGGGAAACCTCCATAAGAATATCTATGATAAAATTGAATAAGAATGGAGACAGTGGGCAGCCTTGACGGACACCACTCGTTGAGCATAGCTCCTTGGACATCTCACCATAGGCTCTAACATGCTCACAAGTGTTCGAGTAGAGAGCCTTCAATAAGGTGATGTACTTACTCGGCACACCTTTCAGTGAGAGACACTGCCATAAAACTTCTTGATCAACGGAGTCGAGTGCCACGCCTTCAGGTCGAGAAATACAGCCATTGTCGGGCATCGGTAAGCATGCCTGTTTTCCAGTGCCTGGCGCAGTGTGAATATGTGGTCGATACACCCACGGTCAGGTCTAAAGTCTGTTGGTTTTCTCGGGCTTGTTATTCCCGAGCTCCACTCAGGCGTCGAAGAGTTATCGAACCTAGAATTTTAGATACTATGTTCGTCAGGCTGATTCCTCTGTGGTTATCACAAGAGGACTTCTCGCCTTTCTTGAAGACTGGGATGATCAGTGACTTAGACCAGTCGGAGGGGATCGTATTTGATTCCCATATACTGGCTAACACTTCCGTTAGCCTGACTAAGAGAACTCTACCACCATTCTTGTATACCTCAGCAGGTAGTCCGTCTGGTCCTGCTGCCCTTCCCCGTTTCAGGCTACCTACCGCTTTCTCAACTTCTTCTAGTGTTGGGGGACCTGTCTCTATGTCCCATTCAGGGTCCGACTGGATAGCGGGCAGCGCAATGGTGGCTGGAGGCCAGTTAAACTGTTCCTCAAAGTGTTCTGCCCATCGTTCCAGTCGCCTTCCCTGCGAGTGAATCGCAGATCCGTCCTTCTCCGCTATAACCTCACTAACTGTTGTTGACCATTTCCCCCCAGTCTCCTTAATAAGTCTAAATAACTGTCTACTGTTACCGATCGCCGCTGCCTTTTCCATCTCTTTAGCCTTTGCTGCCCACCACTGTTCACGATCGTTGCGCAGACTTTTCGTCAGTTTATTTTTAAGTTGCGCTCGCTCTTCATTGTACTCAGAGCCTGCAGGGATGCATTCACGTGCATCCATTAGTTTGGAAGAAGCTGCTGATATCCACTGGCTCTTTTTAGCCATTATCTTGGAGTCGGCTACAGTCTCCAGTGCTGCTTTTACAGTAGACTGAAGATGGCACCAAGCTTCTTCTGGATGAGTGACAGTCTTTTGTTCCGATAACTGCCTAGCCAACTTCTCACTGAACACGGCTTTGGTGTTTTCGTTGTCCAGCAGAACTCGTAGTGGTTTTGTTGCCAAATTTTTTCTACGTCCATTGAGACGCAGGCATATACGTGCTCGGACCAACGCATGATCGCTGTCCAAACACGTACTCCAGAAGGAGCGGCAGTCTTCCACCGATCCTCTCCAGCGATGACTAATAGCAATGTGGTCTATCTGTGTCCATCGCTGAGTTGAGCTCGGTGGACGCCAGGTCAGACAGTGCCTTTCTTTATGTCTGAAATTTGTGCTGGCTAAAAATAGGCGGTTATCTGAGCATAGTTGTAATAGGCGATCACCGTTATCTGTACGTTCAGCTGGGATTCCGAAAGTGCCACCTAAGTGCCTTTCTGCCTCACTCAGTCTACCCACCTGTGCGTTGAGGTCACCTGCAACAACCACTACGTCCGAACGTTTGGCTTTCGAGAGGAGGTTAGACAGTTTATGGTAGAACTCGTCCTTCACTTCATCCGAACTACAGTCAGTGGGTGCGTAAGCAGAGATTACAAAGAGACAACGGCGAGTCTCACTATTCCTTTTAGTTCTCACTGTGCCGTTCAGCCTCATAGCGCAGAGGCGACTATCAACTGGGATCCAGTCTAGTAGTGAGTTTTCTGCCCTGGTGCTTAATGCTATACCTACACCTGCAAGACCACGAGAGCTAGCTATCGAATCTCCAGAAACTCGAAGGGTGAATTTTGCGGATTCACCAGATTGGTCAGGAGAGGTCAGGTGAATAACCACACTTGGGTCCTGTATGCGTGTCTCACAAACACAGCACACATCCATGCCCGAGTTGCTAGAGTCTTTGCTAACGAAGCCTGTTGGCCAATTTGACGGAGGGTGCGGACATTGAAGGCTCCAATATGTAATTTGGAGCGTGGTTTAAGGAGACCAGGGATGCTGTTCTGTGGACTCAGATCGTTGTCGAAGGCTACAGGGCTAGGAGGGATTGAAGATGATGTAGTATCGTTACTTGAGAGACGTGAAGGAAGATTAGGAGGTAATGATGAGGGTGGTGGATAGCAGTCTGAGGAAACTTGAGTGCTGATAGAGTTGTGAGGGTGATTGACACTTCCCGGCTGCCCACACCATGGAAGGCTATTTCTTCTTAATGTATCTGAAAGAGATATATAAAGCTTAAATGATAACATGTCGGATACTGGCAGTGGATCGCCCGTAAGACTAGTAGACGTCATCTGTTTGATTATTCAAAGATTGATGTATGCACTTAGATTTTGTCTTACAATCTGTTAGTTGCAGCGCCGAATGACTACAGTGTAGAGTCACAAACTTTCTGATAGTTTGAACAGCATCGGTTCCATCCGTCTATATGGGTGTTGACAAAGATACGACCTAGGTTGACTATTCCATCATGACAACTGTCTCCAACCATCTAGCACCTAGAGAGGAAGGGAAAGGGGGTGATAAGAGAGGTCCACTCAGCAACCCTATGCATACTGGTGCAGTAGATAATGAACCAAATCTCTTGTGTGAGAGATGATTCTAATTCTTGGCTACCCAAACTCTTGTAGGTGGAGAGATGCTCAAACTCGTAACCCATTGGCTGAAAGTCAATTCCCTAAACCAATGACCTACAGTGTACGTGAGAAGGTAATGCTAGGGAAACCAAATACGTCAAACAGTATACATGTAGATCGATAATTTCGCTTGTGTTACGTTCCTTGAGATGAATAGTTTAATCGCTTCCCACTAGATCATTCAATTCAGATAAATCAACACAACCAAGATCATCTACCTGAGCCCGAAACATTATTATTATTATTTGTCCCTTGGTTTCCTAGTCAAATATAAGGGTTCAGTAGCACGTGGCCATTTCACTTTGTTCTCTGCAGTCTTTTAAACCTGGATCCACGACTCCCCGGCAGCTTTCATGTCTTCTTCACATGATCTCTTCCATGTCACCCTCACTCAGACGCCCAACTCGTTGTTTCATATGCGGGTTCCATTCGAAGGCCTGGTGCATGATGTCCCCAAATAGTCTTCCCAGTGTATGTCCAGTCCAACCCCACTTTCTTCTTCAGCATATTTTTGGGCGATGGGTTCTCGGTTGGTTCGTTCCCAGCCAGAGTTCCTTGTTGCTTATTCTTTCTGACCATCTGATCTTCACTATCAAGTGAGCGTAAGCGGCAGCTGTTGATGAATGTTTGTAGTTTGTTGGAAATGCTTTTCGTGACGCGACCAAAATGTACTCTCCGTCATATCAAGATTAATAATCTTAATCTACTCTACAGGTTTACTACTTCTAGACTAAATAATAATTAAAACATTGATTGGTAAGCGTTCTCATCACACAACCCACTCAGTATTATTATATAATATTCTAAACATCTGCTAATTCCATAGTCAGTTTGACCGGTAACATAAATAAAATGAAAGTTCGTATTCATCACAGACTGACATAAATAGTAGAAAAATTGGAAACGTGGGAACACTGGACAACTCAGCTGTATGCGCCACCAGTGACCCCATCCGGAGTTGATCCTAAGATCTTCAGACCCCTTAGCCAACATTTTACCATTGAGCCACTGTGTTAGGTCAATATTACCTTCTTCTGGCAGTCTATGATGAATACTTGCCTAAAATCAATCATAAAATCTCAACAAACCTCCAAATCAAAGTAAAGGTGTTAACATGTATGCATTCATACATACATACCTCCATTGAAAAAGGTACACATCATATTTATCATCAGAGTATTTATTTCCAAAGAAAGCCGAAAAAGTACAATACAGAGGGATGAGGATATCTTTCACATATAAGCAACAAGTAAACAAAATAATAAGCAATAAAAGTTTATGTACACAAGTAAAAATGATAGAAGGGGAATCGGTTAAAAGTCCAGACCTACTACTAATCAATTCAGTTGACACACACACACACACAGCACATAGATTACAGAGCATAAGAGTTGTGACAGAAGAGAGGCAATGAAATATGTACATACTGAAATCTAGCTACTTTTAACCTTCTCAAGGATATTTTTCTGATATTTTGCGCCTACTAGTTGTATAAAAATTGAATATAATTTTCTGGTCAAAAAAAGGGATAGGTAATGAGTCTGTTTATCTATTTGGGTTTCACAATTAATCTGATTAAGTAATCTTCACCGTAGCCAAGGGATTAAATCATAAGAAATGCATAGCTGAATATAGTGACATTGTTATGAGTGTGAATTACGTAATGGATTGGTGACAAATTTCCTCATTCGAAGAAATTCCGATTTAGATGGAGATCTTTGACCAACGTCTTGCCAACCAGTGAGAAATTTTAGGATATCTGATAGTGATATAATCCCTTCCACCTTTCTATTTTCATCAATGACAACAAGGCGATGAACCTGAATGAAAAATAACCCAATAAAAGTTATTCAAACCAACGTATATACATTCAACCAGTAGGAAATTAGTTCGAGTCTTGTTACACACTTTGTCTAAGAAAACAATTTCAATTTGGAGATTTCTGAAAATTTATTGTTTTCAAGTCGGAGAACCATTGAAAATCTGGGGTCACTGGACAGCTGTCTCTTCCTAGGATGAAAATCTTCAACAAAACACACTTATGACTTCGCCCTGCTGGGGATCGAACCCAGGACCCTAAAGTAGGGAGTCTAGACCATTATATTCCCACCCACTTGCTCAGTGACGTGCTCGCTATGGAACCTGAACATCGTGGGTTCGATCGTTGGAGGGGTGGGATCATGGATGGGCACTACAGAGAAGTCCCATGTCAGGACAAAGTAGATGTCTAATGCTCCCAGGTTTTCAATGGTTCTCTGACTGATGTCAATTCATGATAAATACCAACTTGAAATTGTCTTGAAATCGATCAACTTGGCCTCAGTCATTAAGTTCGAAATCTCGATAGGAGCACGACTTTCGATAACTCCGAAATCAATAGTCATGCATAACTAGCAGTAGGCAAAGCAGGATGGGACGTGGGATTCATTGTCTTGGTTGTATTATGTTCTCTGACCTGGGTTGGGAGGATTCATTGTATCACAGCGATGCGCATAAACTAAATGAGCCAGACCTTTGCATGATCCTTAGGATAATCCGTTTATTTTTTTGTCCCCAGTTAAAGGCAGATTGGTGATGATTGTTTTGTTCAGTAGACAATGATGCCTATAAGCAGGATGACATAACCAATCTGCCTACCTGTTTCTCTTTTGTTGTCTGTCATAAAAGACGTGCGTAGCTCTGTGTGTGTGTGTGTGTGTGTATACTTTAATTCGTATCCAACCACATAACATGTAGACCCACATCAGGTTATACTAATGCCAGACTAAATTTGAAACAGTAAATTTGAAACAGACTGTATGATACACGGAAAAACAAATTTAGAATGTGTGTGTGTGTGTATCTTCATGTGGTATGTCTGTCTGTGAACAGATATTGATTTCAACTAAACTGTTTATATGGCTGTGGGTAAGTGAATGTTGACAAAGTGGGAGAAGATAGATTTAGTTCATTGCTATTTCGTACTCGACAAGATGACTCATCGATGCGCTTACCTTATGTTCAGTTAATGATCACGTGATATTCTTTACACGTAAACCGGTGCTTTTATGATTAAGGGAAGGAGGTGAAGACCATAAAACCTTAGAATCTAGTGTTTTGTATGTTATAACAAACTGTCATCCCATGACATTAAGTGAATGGTAAAAGAAGCAGAAATAATCGACGGGTTTAAAGTGATCACACAAACTAAACACTAGAGGTGACGATGAGATTTTAACCGTCAAGTAAAAACTTATAGTTCAGTTTAGATGTTTGTGGGGACTAATTGATTTCAAGGTGGTATCCACCACGACCTGATATCAGCTAGTGAACTATTGAAATCCAGGGAGCACTTGACACCTGTTTTCGTCCAGTAGTTCGCACCCACAACCACACTAGTGTCTTGCTTTGGGATGAGATTTCTCGAAATTCTAATGAGAAGTCGGTGGAGCAAACGAAGTTGGATGTGAAGAAAAATACTCTACCGTGGCGCTATATGACGAAATGACAGAAGTAAGGAAGCATAAACGATTGGATTCCAACCTAGTGACACAATGGTAGCGTGTTGGTCGTGGAGCCTGAGGGTCCTGGATTCGATCTCTGGCAGGGTGGAGTAATGGGTGCGTATCACTGACGGTCGCATATTAGAAGAAAACAGCTGTTCAAAGTTCTCAGGTTTTCAATGCTTCTCCAAATGATGTCAGTCAATGATGAATGCCAACTTTAAAAACTTTTAAATACTATTCGATGTGTTGTAGAAGGATAGAGTGTCACCGTTCATGATTACCTACCAAAGCATCTTGAAGGTGACTCTGCAGTCGTTCTGGAAAGCCTTAATTTATTAGAAGCATATAGCTGTCAGTTTCGATTGAAGCGAAAGAAATTACTTTCCATATTATCCATCGTCTCCCGCTATTTGCTAATTCTGAGGGCTTTTTCATGTGTCTCATTATTGATAGAATTATAGACAAAAAGTTCATACTTAAGTACAATTTAAAATGAAGTTGTAAATGCTGATGCCTAGTAACAACCCTTATTTTAACTCCATAAACTCTACCATTTAATTATAATTAGGTTAAAAGTACCTTTTAGGTAATAAAAAAGGAAATAGCCAGCGAACAGGTCATCTTTCCAGCTCCAGTGCTGCTTGTTTTACTACTTTATGGCTTCATCTTGAAGAGCTGTACTTTGAAATCATTAAGGTTATATCCAGTTTCATAAACTTGATGTTTTTCTTTAAATTTTCCAGCTATAATTCTTAAGTCTGTCTACAATGAATTCACATAAATGATTTTAAGACGATAAGCACACTTGAAGGTTTATTTTCGGCTATATCACACTTCAGATGGTTTGTTTTCATGTTTTCACGTGGTATCAGATGTACTTTTGGTTTAAACAGAAAAAAGCACTTGAAAACCAAGCGAGATAAGCTTCTAAACATAGTTAAGTAAAATCATATTTATTGTTAATTTCCTTTCATTGGTGTATTACAAGTTATCAGGAAATGGTCGTTTCTTATTGGTGCGTTCAAGGTCATCTGATGGTCACTCGAGCATGACAAAACTCTACAGTTTTATTAGGTGTGCTTTTGTCAACAGACTTTATAGCTCCAGGTGAACAGCTTGGCTACTTCTATACTAACCCTTGAGGAAAGATTAGAAACAAGTTATATCCAACTGTAATAATAGATTCCACTGCTTCCACTAGCGTGGAAGTAACTGTAAAGTATACTTATTTAGCCTGGCTTTTACCTACATTTCCAAATTAGGTAACATTGACTTATCTACTAGTTTATCTATGCGGCGACTAAGGCTAATCATGCATTGCATTATTTCATTTTTCTGCTTTTTGCCCACTTTACTGTCCTTTTTTCGTTTCTCAGATGTTAACACCAACCAACGCACTCAGCAACCTCATGGATATTGGTCCAGTAAGCAATGGGTCACAAGTCTACTGTGAGAGCTGATGACTCTACCTGCCTAGTTACCCAAATTTCGGTTGGTGGAATAGGGTTCGAAGCTCTGACCACACAACTCCTTAGTCGTGCGACACATTAGTCTGTACAACTGACTAATCTGTATTTTTTGGGTAAGTTAGCTGTCCTGCTTACTAAGTGTTTGTTACCTTGGTTTACAGTCGGAGGATAGATCTTGCCAACTGCACTCCAGATACCTGTTGGTCATGTTTTGCATCAGGCTGCCATCGCGAATAGGAAATCATGTGATCAAGATACAAGTTGGGCTTGTATATACCAAGGCCATTCAAAACACTGGAACTTTTGTGTAGTTGTAATCAGAGGCCAACTCTAACAACTGCTGAAATAACCAATAAGGTTTCAGTAATTTCCGATCAACTACCCTTTCAGTCAAAATGTCGGTATTTTTAGTTGAAAAGGTAGGTTTTTAAATAAAATATTGAAGCAAAACGAGAGTAAGTCTGAAGGCTATCCTAACAACTACTGAAGGAACCAATTAAAGTTGTGTATTTTTGAGAAAACCACCCTAATAACTGCTAAGATAACCAATTACTTGTCTGGATTATATGGGAAATTATCTTCCTCAGTTGAAATACTGAGACCTTCAAGTGTTAGCGACCTTTAAGTCACTCCTTAAGCTTACGCACTAGTTTTGAGTGAGCCTTAAAGGTAACGTCAACCGCGACCGAAATAATCAATTACATTTCTATATTTTATGAATGAACCACCTTTGTAACCGAAGTAGAGAAATCTGATTGGGTCATTCCAGTTGTCATTGTGGTAACCTTTGAAGTCACTCACTAGTATATGGGCTTGTCAAAATTTAGAGTTTTAAGGCTGGGTATGGGTTTAAAGGCCATCTAAGCAGCTGTTGAAATAACCAGCCGCTTTTCGGTATTTTGGCTGGAAAGTTAGTTTTTTAGAAAATAAAGAACCGTTATTAGTTATCCTAGGTATTGTTAGGCTGGACTTTGAAGTACCCTACGGTGGGTAAAGGTTGGGAGGCTCACTGATAAAAAGTGACTTCTTTAAAGGCCATCTTAAAAACTGCTGAGATAACTAAAGAGATTTCCCAACTTTGTCTAGAAAGGTAGTTTCTTATAAAATGGATAAACTTGATTTGTCATTCTGGTAGTTGATTTTTAGATTTACCTAAAATCTACCTGCACAACCGAAATGCTGAAAACTGGTTGGTTATTTTAGTAGTTGCTAGAATGGTGTTTAAAGTTACTCCTCATGAATAACTCTAACCGCCAATCTGGTAACGACTGAAATAACCAATTACATTTCTATATTTAGTTGGAAAGGTTTAGGTGTACAAAATATCTAAGGTCAGTAGACAAGCAGAAAGATTATGCCACTGTTGAAACAGTGACTGGTGGTCAAATGACTAAAGATACGGTTTTTCTTTCTCTTCCAGCTTCTTCTAGCAACTCCACTTTGCACCATAGAATATGTCTCTTATATTCATTTAGGTGAGTACCATCACAAAAATGATTTTTCTGCATCAATTTATGTTTAATTACTGATTAATCTATAAATACTTATTGGGTATCTAAAGGACACTCATAACTTTTGAGATAACTAATAAGGATTATGTATTCTATAGGAAAAGACTACTTTTACAAGGAAAATAGAGAAGCCTAAATGGTGTCTTCTCTCGATGAAAGCGAAAGTAAACGTGGGGACATGGAATATCCGTACGATGTTTGAACCCAGTAAGGCAGCCCAGATTGCAAAGGAGATGAGAAGGTATCACATCAAAGTGCTTGGAATTTGCGAAAGCAGATGGAATGGGAGTGGAGTCTCCAAACTGTCAACTGGAGAATCAATAATCTACTCCGGTCACCCAGACGACAACCACGAGCACACCGAGGGAGTGGCTATCATGATGTCCTCAACAGCATCGAAGGCTCTCATGCAGTGGGAACCAATCTCCCCATGCAGGATCATGACAGCAAAATTCAACTCAAAAGGAAGGAAGGTCACAATCATACAATGCAACGCTATGCACCTACAAATAATGCAGAGCAAGAGAAAAAGGAGGAATTCTACAGACAACTGCAATCAACACTGGACAAGACCCACCCCAGTTGGCGATATCAAAATTCTAATGGGCGACATGAATGCCAAACTGGAGGGGACAACACAGGAAGAGAACTAACCATGGGTCGAGAGGCGCTAGGTGAAATGAACGAGAATGGAGAATTGTTTGCAAAATTCTGCGCATTCAACGATTTGGTAATTAAAGGCAGTGTGTTCAGGCACAAGGATATACACAAAGCGACATGGATTTCACCAGACACCAAGACACACTAAAAATCAAATCGACTTTATCTCAATCTCAAGAAAATGGAGACGCAGTCTACTTGACACAAGGTCAAGAAGAGGAGCAGATGTAGGTTGACACCACTCACTATCTAGTGCAAGGAACCTTCCAAATCAAGTTAAAAGCCTTCAAGGAAGCTGGTGATAGACCTCAATTCAAGTACAACACTCGGAAACTGAAGGATGAAACTACAAAGGACATCTTCAAGGCAGTCAGCCATCAAGACAAAATGGGAGATATCGAGAAACATCCCTGAAGAAACCTGAGTGGAAGAACACTGGAAGTCTTTGAAAGCTACGTGGGAAGAAACCTGCACAGACGCATTAGGAAGGAAGAAGAAAGAAGACAAGGAATGGATCTCGACGGATACATGGAAGCTGATAGAGCAGGGAGAGGAGGATGATGAAGCAGAAGATAAGCCAGTGCAAGGATGCTCAACGACAAGAGGAACTAAGCACAATGTATAAACCACTACACTGGACAGAGAAGTGGAGAAGAGTGCACGCAAAGACAAAACACTTCCACAACACACTGGCAAGTGAAGCAGAACAGGCGGCAGGTAAGAGAGACCTGACGACATTGTATCAAATAACCAGGTTGCTGTCTGGGAAGAGATCAACACAGCATAGATGAAACCGATAAAAGATGATGACGGAAATTTCATTAGGAAAGAAGAGAAATAAAGGAAACAATGGGCTGACCACTTCAAGAAGCTCTTGAATCGACCACCACCTGCACTTCGTCCAGAAATACCACCTACAGTCCAGCCGCTGAACTACAAGTGAACATAAATCCTACAACAAAAGTGGAAATCCTGAACGCCATAAAGCTACTTAAACGTGGGAAAGCAGTAGGACCAGATGGGATACCGCCAGAAGCACTGAAAACAGACTCAGAGACAACAGCCGACATGCTCACACAACACCACTATTGCAGAAGGTGTGGAAGGAAGAGAAGGTAGCTGGCCATTGATTGGAAGAAGGTTTATATTGTCAAACTACTGAAGAAGGGAGACCTCAGTGTTTGCAAGAACTGGCACGGAATCAGGCTCCTGTCCACCCACAGCAAGCAAAATATTAAGCCGCATCATCCTGGAGAGGCTGAGGGATGCGCTAGATTCAAAACTACGACCGGAACAGACTGGTTGGCTTCAGGAAGAACAAATCATGTGCAGACCAAATTGCAACGCTACGCTATGCATCATCGTAGAACACAGTATAGAATGGCAGTCAATTCAACTCAACCTCAACTTCATCGACTTTGAGAAGGCCTTTGACACCGTCGACCGAGAGGTAATTTTGCAGTTGACTCAACACTAAGGTTTTAGCGCCACAAACCTTTATCAATCTCATTCAACAACTATATGAAGACACCATATGCCAGCCAAGTAATTCACAATGGGAAGCTCAGTGATGATTTTGAAGTGAAGACAGGAGTGAAACGAGGTTGCCTACTATCACCATGATATTCCTTATTGTGGTGGACTGGATCATGCAGCAAACAGTGGGCAGCGAGAAGAGAGGGATACACTGGACTGCGGAAAAGAACCTAGAAGACTTGGATTTCGCCGATGACTTGTGTCTGATGTCACATAAACTTGAAGATCTGCAGGCAAAAACTAACAAGTTGGCAGAAGTGGCAGGGCAGCGAAGACGGGACTTCAGGTGAATATAGAGAAAACAGAAGTGATGAAGATACCGCACCACCACCATCAACAACAACAACAAACTCCAATCACCGTCAACGGGAGAAACTTGAAGGAAGTAACCTCCTTCACTTATCTAGGAAGCACTGTTTCAACTACAGGCGGGACGGACGAGGACGTCAAAGTCAGCCAGAATCGGAAAAGCAAGACAGGAGTTCATTAGCCTGAAATCAGTGTGGAGATCTTCTGCACTCAGCATGTGGAACAAGATATGGATTTTCAACACCAACGTCAAGTCAGTGCTTCTGTATGGTTCAGAGACTTGGCGCGTTACGAAAGGTATTTCCAACAAACTACAGACATTCATCAACAACTGCTTACGCTGGCTCGCTACTGAAGATCAGATGGCCAGAAAGAATAAGCAACAAGGAACTCTGGGAACGAACCAACCAAGAAGCTATCACCCAACAAATATGCAGGAGGAAGTGGAGATGGATTGGGCATGCACTGAGAACGCCGACTGGGGACATCACGCGTCAGGCTAGGTCGTCGAGTGGAATCCCCGTGGGAAGCGACGAGTTGGGCGTCCATGGTGAGGGTGACATGGAGGAGATCGTGCGAGGAGGAAATGAGAGCTTCTGGGCTGTCGTGGAACCAGGTTCAAAAGATCTCAGAGAACAGAGGTCACTGGAGGCGTGCTACTGAAGCCCTATGTTCCACTAGGAACCCAAGGGACCAATAATAAAAAATAATAAATGGTTGTTTTTGGGTCATTGCTGGGGTGACATTTATGCAAATTGAAATATATGATTCTTAACTACTCATATTGTTTTCAGTAGTATACTTAACTTTTGATATTTTTGACAAATCTCGTGATCTTGAATACACGGTTTTTTAACGGAAGCCATGTGTACTCATTGTACATATTCACAACATAAAAAAAGGATTATTTACTTGTTTAGTGGATTATTTCAGATTGATAAATCAGGTATTTGTGACTGTTTATTGACATACTTGCAATTCTCCTTTGTTTTATTGGATCGAATTGTTCGACTTCTATTGGCTTATGGGCTCCTATGAGGATGCCTCGATATTGCCTGAATGTTAATTATAGTAATTTGTTTTAGTCGTGGCTAGCAGGTAGTATTATAAACCTTTATATATAAAGTGAGATTCATATCCTGGTTCATAAATGTGTACCGGTTTATTGAGTTGTATTAAATTGCTCACTGTCTCACTCTTTCATACAAGATTAATACATTGAAGACATAGACGACTGAATATATAGTACATTGCTACACCGTTCAAATTCAAGCGTGGGTAATAAAGAGTAGTCCTATAGTCTCACAGTGTGGTGCAGTGCACTGCACTGTGATGTGCCCTTATTCAACTGTCTCCATTACAAGAGGATAAAGACTAGTTGTGGAGCATTATTTTAGCATTAATCCAAGTTCGAAGCATAACAATAAACGTTTTCGGAGTTGATTTATCATATCATCCTAGAAAATAGCATCTGTCACCACCATACTCAATTATTAGGCTGATATTGTCAGTTGACAAATCTTCCGTTTTGATTATATTTCCTAAAAATATGAAGGCAGAAAATGTTACTTCGAAAAGATCATCTTAGATGGAGATGAACAGGAGGGAAGAAGGTAGAGAGTGTTAACAGAATTTCAGTCAATGAACGAGGTGTTTCTGTGATACGTTTTAACTTACAAGATGTATGACATGTCAGCTTGCATACTTACCCTTTAGAATAGGATAAGATTACGTACTTCACATGTGACAATGGAACAGAAAATATATTCTAAACATACAGTTATTTATATCCATCTTGGTAACCATAAGTGAAACAGAAGGCGAGCGTTTCGTCCCATCTGGGACTCATCGGCTTGATGTACCTGCCTCCCAGTTAGTGATATTATTATCACTGGGACTCGAACTGGGTACCCACCGCCACAAGGGCACGACAACCACCTCTTCTGCAAGCAGTCTCACTTGCTGTTGTTTGATATCTATAATTTTCCAGCCACTATACAGGGTCAAAGTGCTCGAATCTCGGTGGGGACAACATCACTCACTGGAGTGCAGGTACATCCAGCTAATGAGTGAGTCCCTAATAGGACGAGACGCATTTCCTGAATTCCACTACAAGTCACCAGGATGAATATAAAACCCGGCAGTGTCGACGTCTCCACGTAGAGATCCATCTTCGAAAAGAGGCCAAGCAGTTCGACCCTGTATATCAACGGGAAATTACAAATAACAAAGCAACCTATTTCATTATATGTTCATATGTTGAAATATACTTACACCGGTCTCAATAATTTTCACCATAACAGCCTGTAGTTCATCTGTTTTTAAACATGTAAGAGGCGCCGGATAACGCTACAATGAATAAGAAATAAACAAAGAAAATAGAATATCCCAACTCTTAGTTTATCAAGGATATTAATAATCTCAGAGCAATTTTCATCACGAAATATCGTCAGTTGGAGAACCATTGAAGACCTTGAAGTACTGGATGCCTGTCTCTTCTACTTTAGGACATGTTAGTTGGTAGGGTAATTAGAAGACAAAGTTTCTCTGAACTATATGGCTATGATGCATTTGCGTAATACATTTCAAACAATCTGATCACATATCTACCATTTATCAAGTCAATTTATATGAAACTGAGGGATGAATGGATGGAAAAAAGCAGAATTATTCAGGTTATATAGGGTTAAAATGAAGAAAGATGATGACAAACAAGAAGAATGACGTAGTAGATCCCAATCTTGATAGGAAAAAAATGTTCATTAAGATAGGATGATCAATTTGGAAATGATAGACAAATCACATAGTCCACCTTGACATTTCTCATAGCTGAGTAGTTTCTCAACTGCCTAACTATGATGTCAACAAGGTTTCCGCTGAAAACCATTCAGCCAAGATCAACCTGATTGGTTTCTAACTACTAAAGTTGTTCAGTAGCAGAATTTTATAAAATTTTACTAGGGTAAATGTATTGTAAAAACAAATTGTTTCTTTAAACAGAAAGGTGGTTTCAATTTGCCCACGGTTATCGCTTCCACGGATCTTAATATCCCTTGTTGACTGTTTCTCGATTGAACTTTGAAAGCTCTTTCAACTTTTATTTCGTAATGCATTTCTCTAATACATTTAGCCGACTGTGAGGTCAAACACATAAGTCAAAGTAATCGACTAGGGTTAGTTAGGCTATCCGAGCTCAAAAGCTTAGCTAGGTCAGAATTTGTAGATCCCCTTAAGGTAAGGAATTTAAAAAAAGCTCAGTCATTGGTATGCATGCAACTACTCAAAACCACACAAGAGGATGAAACAGAGTAGAAATCCTTGAAACTAACATGCCAGGATGGAGGGAGAGATTGATAACTGACTCTTTGTTTACTGATTAAACACCTAATACATGGAGAACAGGAATGATGCAGCACCTGTTCCAGATATATGGAAAATCTTACTACCCAAGTGATCACAAAGGAGGGGGAAGGAAATTAGGACTATATTACAGATGTATCAAATCTGTGCAGTTATCATGATATCACTATGCACAGTAAGCTCTGACCGAAACGTTATTCAGCTAATAATACTCTCCCTTCACTATGATACATCTGATAACTCAACTAAAATGGAACTACATTCTACCATAGTACACATATGTTTTACTCTTATATTAATTGAAAGTCGTCTCACATATGCATACTTCAAAGGTGTTGTTGAAGCCATTTAGGTTCATGTTCTCTCACTATCAACTAGATGATTCGATTATTCCCCCCTGGTAAACACAATGGGGTGTGACGTAATCACCTAAGCAGTGTTTAGGTGATGTTTTCTCAACGGCTGATGTTAGTATACGTCTTTAAATGTAACGATTCAACCAGTCATTGTGTGGTGAAGAGGTTAGAACATTTTTCTTAGGAACCGTGCGTAAAGTTGACTTTGGCGTCACGTGACTTCTACAACGCTTTATAAACTTCAAAAGATATCCGTTTCCCATGAGTGTTTTAGACAGTAATCTGACTATTTAGTGTACAAAGCGACTATTCAACTATAAGTCAGTTTTACCGACTAAAATGGAGACCCACACATAAACCTGACATATGATACCCATATATAATGGTACGAGTTGAAGAAGGCACCAGTGAACAGTAAAAAAACTAATTTTTGGTTTATCTGTATCGGAGTTAACAAATACCCAAAATGATGCAATTCTGCTGGAGTCACCACCCCGTCATGTTTACTGCAGTTATATTGAAGAATTCTGTCTTCAACATTGTTCATACTATAGCCATAGGTAGGGATTATGAATAGGCAGTGAATTTTGTGATAATCTTAATGAGTTTACAAGAATCACTTTTAATCTTCCAGTAATTTCGGTTTTTCCAGTTTCATTAGTTGATCAGAACATTGTAGCTGAAAGCAGAACTGTGATCTAACCCTAAGGGGGGGGGATACACAGTTTTCAGGGACTCAAATTTACTCACTCTTCTTCTCTAGAGTTAGCAAATGTAACATCTGCCGAACATCCTGCTCATTCTTAACTCTTCTTCCACAGTAAACGCTATTGTTCCTACGGCTATCTAGACGACCACATTCTTTCCTAATTATTACATTCGATGGAATAAAGTCGAATGAATCTGTGTACATTATGCGTATCTTCCACTGAGAAAATGTTTCCTTGCAGTTGTAGTATACATATCCAAAACAAAACTCTGAACGTCATCATCCTGCAAAACTATCTAAAGGAGAGTACAAAGCCAGACTAGCTGGATTCTTGAGCATTCGGTTAACTCTTCTCTTCGCCCCCTCCTCAGAATCTTCCTTCAAAATCATTTATAAACTAAAAGCAAACATTCCGAATGGACTGTGGATTCGACACTTAAACACAACAGAAGCCTTGACAGTTCCACAGGCCAAACCTGGAAGTACTGAACAACATCTGTGTTATCCTGCTGTGACAGTCCTCAGGAATACGTACTCACGACTCAGAACCTTTAAGTTTTATGGCGAATGCGTTAACCATTCACCCATCAGAGTGAACACAGTTTGACTGTCTACAGTTTACAACTTCTGTCAATTCGTGACTATCCACCAAGGTGTTCAGATGATATCTACTTCGCTTCCAACTGATTGACTCAATAAGTCATGGCTTCTATATAACACTTTCAGATATCCATCTCAAAGTATGTCACCTGTGAGGGCTACACAGTAATATTCATACTACTGAGGAGTCTCATACTGGGACGAAATGGCTGTCCAGTCCTACAAGGGTTTCAGTGATTCTACAGTTAGCGTCGATCCATGATGAAGACTACTTTAAAAACAAAACCTGCATAACCTCAAAATTCTTTATTTACTATCTGGTTGTTTATTGTGATCCTACAAGAAACCTTTTGATGACCCTGTGACCATGCATCTTTATTGGTCGTTTTGATGGCTTTGTATGAACCCTTGTTGCTATACAGCGCTAAATCCTCGACCTCTTTTGGCAGATGGGCTCTCTATGTGGAGGCCTGGATACTGCTGGATATTCAAGCTTTTGGGCAGTTCGGCCTTGTATAACAACGGGAAATTACAAATATCATTAAAATAACTGATACTTGTTGCAAAAGAGGTGGATATCGTGTCCCAGTGACTTGTTAGATAACGCTCTGGTGTTTGAAGCTAACGATACTAAGTTCGAGCCCCCATCTGACAAGTAAGTTATAAATAGGAAGAAACGCGCACATGGATTCCACTGGTAGCCACCGAGATCAATGTGTATTAACCTATTGGCTATTGATGGACGTATAGTTTTGGTGTAACTATGATTACGATTGTAGAGCTTTTGAAAATGAGATTCGACGAAAATGGAATTTTCTTTTTGTGAAAAAAAATGTTTCATGATATCCCAACAATCTGAATGATGAATGAGATAAGGGTAGATGAAGAAGGGGTTATCCATCTTTTAAGTTATTTATTTTAAAATACATTCCAAATGATAAGGTATCATCTTGATTAATTTGTCAAAGTTTGTAAAAATTAGTTATTTGGACAACTCAGCAGTTAGATAATCCGTATGCAGTTAACTGGTAAACAGAACTGGGATATAAATTATACCCGAAAGTATTTTCACATTCATAAGCAATACTTGAGTATTTCACCATACACAATATAACGTTGTCTTAGAGATAAACATGCATCAAAGTGTATCGTGATGATGAACTGCCTGTCTGCCTGAATGGTATACTCGGTAGGGTTAGGGTAAGGACTCAAGACAAGATCAACAGGAAGTTAGTTGCTCCTCAGTGGTCTGGATAGTTTAGTGGTAACATCGTCCCGTGGCACACTGGCTGGCGTGGGTTCGAACCCCGTGGGGGGAGGACATTAATTCTTTCGAGTTCGCAGATACACCTTGCTAACAAGTGCCAGCAAGTACGAAATCGAAGTCGGGTAGAGCTTTCAGCTGACTGTCTATAACCAACTAGGACTTTTAGAATAAGGATGATACGTGAATGACCCACACTACTCCTTTCTATTACTAGTTATGTAGAGATTTAATCTCGCTTGAAAGTTTTGAACACAAAGCGAAGGCATTATATGTTTTTGTAGAGAGAGAGAGAGTTCTGTTGGTTTATAAATCTGTACAAGAAATGCATTTTCATACGTGGATAAAGTAAACTCTTCTAAAGTAACTTACATTTCTGTTTAATCGACGAAATTCCAGTGCATCATAAACAGAAATATCCAGATTATTGTATGTTCGTGTAATGGCTAAATTCTAAAAAAAAAAATTGGAGTTTAAAAGAAATAAAAATAAAAGCACAATTATTAAATTATCATTTCTGATTAAAATAACAGTTTTATCAAAATCGGTGAATGCATTCGCGTGTAAGCAATTTCTCAGTACATGATGTAATCATAATAACTGTTGGAAATGGAATAACTGTCATGCAAAAAATGTAGATTTAACTTTATTCAGAGGTAGTATTCATCATGGACTGACATCAGTTAGACAACTGTTAAAAAACTGGGAACACTGGACAGCTGTTTCAGCTTAGCATAATAATCCTCAGCAGAACATATACATGACCTAGTAAGGATTCGAACTCACGACCTTCAGGTCTCGTGGTGAACACGCTAACTATTTAGCCTCTGGTTCGGTTTTCAGTCGTTCACACTTACCAACTTCTGTCAATACGCGATATATTGTGACTATCACCCAAGGTCTTCAGACGGCATCCGCTTTCCTTCCTACTGGTTGACCCCACAGGTCACGGCTTCTTATTAGAACTTCATATTATCCATTTGGAAGCAAGCATTAATGAGCCCTATATAGTACTGTATTATTGAGATGAATGGGGAATTTTTATTTAGAGGTGGTATTCATCACGGACTGACGTCGGTTGGGGAAGCATTGAGAGAAAATGGAAACTATGATCCACTAGAAACGTGCCCAGTGATTAAATGGTCAACGCAGTTGTCATGACATCCGAAGGTTCGGAGTTCGACCCCTAGCCAGGACATGGGTGCGTACTGCTGAGTCGCCTACTAGGACGACATACCTGTCCAGTGTGTTCAGGTTTACAACGGTTCCCCAACTGATGTCGGTCCATGACAAATACTATCCCTGATTTAAAACCCCCATTCGTCTCAAAAATACAAGGAATAGCACTAATACTTAACTCTACTTGTTTTACGCACACACATGCAAACAAACAAACACACGATCACGTGTTTCACTATTGTTCTTGTGATAATGGAAATTCACCTAGTGGCTTTTTGAAAGCCTTCAGTACTAAGCATACTCAGCTTCATTCGATATTGGATCCAAGACTAATAAAGCTTCTACGGTACACTTAGGATCAAATATAGAATGTAATCCAATTCAGCATCTCAGATGGACAGACTTTTTCAGGTACTTGACTTGTTCCACTCGGTTATACTAATCACGGAAAATAAAAAAAGATTCATGGTAGTACCTGGGACATTATTCAGACAAGTCAAGTATATCTCAAGGTTAAACATATGAGTAAATCTCATCTTACAAGGTGCATTTTACCCGTGTTATCCTGATGAATAATCCTCCTTAAGGTTTGAACTACTTAAAAAATATCGGTAGTATAATATTATAGCCTGCAGTTTTCTGTCTTAGTTTGGAGCGAAATGAGGTTTTTCTCGGGATACCTAGATATTGCTAGTAATTTCTGTTTGGTAATCATAACTCATAACAGTTAGCAGTGTAACTCAAGATTTAAGTTTTTTCCTATTCTGAACTAGCCAGCTGGATATATTCATCGTTCACTGACTGGTGTTGTACCCCATGGTGTATATTGAAGATACTACTCTTGCATTCAATAGGACAGTAATGGCTTCCAGTCTCAGTAAGAACAACATCAAAGACGAACACATACAGCCGCATGTAAGTTCATCTGATAATTCTCAAATAAAGCATAATAAATGTCTCAGATTGCACCGTTACCTATTACAAGTAGTATAGTTTGAAGTTACGAAACTTTTTAAAAAATAGACGCACTATTCATAAGGATAACTTACAATAACGTCAAATTTAGCATACAATTCTACAAGTTGACCATTTTCATCAATAATTGGTAAACATGAAACTTGATTTTTCAAAAATAATCTTAATGCTTCAATAATTGACGTATTTTTATCAATCACAAGAACATCTGGTAAATAGGTTCCCAATTTAAGTTCTTTTAAACTTTTATACATAAATTTTGCTACAGGCAAATTATGTCTCTACAAAAATAAAACATGATCAAATCATACAATGAAAAAAAGTAGAGAAAACATTAGTAGGAATGATTCATGAAAGACAATAGAAAGGAAGAATTGATCTATTTGAACCGGTTTATAAGGTGACATATAACTAAATAAAAAACTAACAGTGAACTAGTAAACCTTTATCGGAAAGAGAACATGTTAGTTGGATGGAGGCAGTCGCCAGGAAGCCCTGCTTGACCTAGGTTTTGTGATTGTTGGCATTGGTCAGCAAGGTGTATATATGCAACCTGTACAGAACTGATGTCCCTCCTGAGGTTTGAACCCATATCATCCAGCATTGCGGGCATGTCGTGATTGACCTCCTGTAGAACTGGATTAGACACACTGATTGGTCACTGTAAGGCAACCAACTTCACCTTGTCTAATCCTGAGCACTAACCAGATACTATTCATCATTTTGCAATGCAGCCACCAAGCTAATTGACTTAACATCGCGATGGATTTTGACAGATGTTAGTTGGATGGAAGCAATCGACAGGCGACTCTGTACTTAGATTTCGTGTTTGTTAGTAGGGGGTACCCGCAACCTTGAGGGAACTGACGTCAAGTGTAATATTTGAAATCGCATCACCAAGTGTTGTAGCCAGAGAAGTTAACACTGAACTAGAACGGCCATGATTGATCTCCTGTTGGAGTGGATTAAGTACATTGATTGGTCAATGAAGAGCAATCGATCTCATATTGTCTAGTCCTGATCGCTGATCGAATTCTATCAATCACTTTGCAGTGTGGCAACCAAATAATCATTAGAATTCGGTCAGCAATAAGTGCTTCCTGTTGTGGTTTATTCTTGTATTTTGTTTTTCAGTTATTTTTAGTAGTTACCCAATGTTACTATTCAATGCACCTTTCTTCAACTGTATAAAACTTTTCAGACCATTTCTTATGTGCTATGTAGTATCAATTCATTCTGTTTTTACAGCTGTCCATTAGCTCTGACTATTGACCGGGAATTTGTCTGGAAAATTTCATCATTTTACTTTATATATTACGAATGTGTACAGATATGAAAATGAGTCACGAGAAGACAGTTTTCTTCACTGTAACAACTTTTCCTTCAAAGGAACTGAATCATCTCTACTCAAGGTTGTAGTTCACTATTTGACGTGCAATACTGTAGGGTTTGGATTTACCTGGTACATGAAAGACGAAAATGATTTATAAATTATTGTTGTTTTGATAGTTGCAATTTCTCGTTGCCATGCACAACTGAATTGCTTGGACTCAATTGGCAGATGCGCTCCTATGCTGATGCTTTGATACTACTGGATATTCTTGAGGTCACAATCATCTTTGTAACCAGCAGTGGACTCACTTGTCAGCTGGATGGACCTGCATACCAATGAGTGATGTTGTTCCCAGTGAGAGAGGAACTTAGTATGCATCACTACAAACGCTAAAGCGTTATCCAATAAGCTACTAGAGCATGATGGCCACAGGTATCGGTTGTTTTGATACTTCCACTTTCCTGTCTGAGGCGACGGTTTCTGGGTTCCAGTCTGGATGGGCACAACATCACTCACTGTGATGCAGGTACATTCAGCTGAAAAGCCTCGAATGGGATAAAACACGCCTCTTTGATTCCACTGTTGGTCACCAAGATGAATATATCATTTATCAACTAATTGGTTTTTCTGATAATTATCCTAGGAGCTGAAAACACTGGAGGTTTGGTTTTCAGTGATATACTGTTTGTTTACTTTGTTTTACAAGCCTGTGTTACTCAGCTGTGACCACGACTGATCTCATATAACAATTGATCATGTTGTGGAATTACTGTTTGGCACTGATCAATCACTTTCGAAAATATGATCACTAAGCGAAGTGATATAACACTGTAGTCCACTGAGATTTTGGTGTTGAAATGAGCACCAATGCTGGGTGATGACTGTCTTGGAAAAACTTAGTAGTGAAAGTAATGAAATTTCACAATTGTTGCACTAAATCCAGTTGACAAGTGACAAGTGAAATTCATACAAAATTAAACAACACTACAGTTGTCGGAAGTTTTCATGGTGAAAATTCGATTAACACTATGCAGTAGACAACATGAACTTAGTTACCCTACAGTGACTAATCACTGTGAAAGGGAACACATATAGCTCTTGTGATGGTCCGTTATTCTGAGAGATTTCCTATGCTGAAAGGTCATTATTTTAAATTGTCGTCGTCGTTGTTCTGATAATTATTTCAAAGGTGTTAATTATCTCTAACACACAACCTTTTTTAATTGGTTATCACTGCCAGTTCCATACATGATAAACAGTCGACCAAAGAAATTGAAGTTCTCAAATCATACTACTGAATCAAATAAGTAGTGGTATGAAACCAGTCATAATCTAGTATTCATTGGTACTTGTTATATCCTGTTGCTAGGCTGAATCAAAATTTTCGACCTCTGTTGGCAGATAGACCCCTGTGCGAATACGTCGATACTCCCCGCATATTCACTATGTTATGGTTGATTTGATGGCTACTACTTCGATCCAGTATAAAAACAACAGGAAACCACTAGGAAACCACTTCTCGCTTGGGTGCAGTTGCATGCAGCTGGTGGGTCCCAAATGGTACGAAACACGCGTGTTGGATTCCACCGCTAACCATCACCAAGTAGATTACAACATAGACCAGGTTGATATCATTCTTGAAAAATGACGTAATACACGATGGGATTGGTAGCTGTTGATCGATGATTTGACAACGAAGATGAATAATGAGAAGTACCGTATGGACACAATTACAAAACTTGCCTTGATGCTCAGTATTAACTTGTATAACAATGTATACTGCTTAAAGTTTCTACTACTGAACAACTTCAGTAGTTAAAAATCACTCACTCAGATTGATGTGTAGATTTCTCCAGCCAGTGATCTAAACACTACACTAGAAAGCAATTTGACTCGTTTGCGGTCGAGGCACCTCATTAACGGTGTACTCAGAAAATTCAGCTCATAAAAACAAGTTATTTTACATCACCTGGATCTGGTTAGTTAACTTGCATGATCAATTTACAGATGACTTACAAATTGCAAATTAGAAATTGTCCGGGTACACTGCTAATGAACTTGGCTCCGAACGAACGAGACGGATGCCTGGTATGATGCCTAGATCACTGTGATCAAGTCGTCTGGCAAAATCTAAACATGGGTTTGAATGACCACTCTCTACGTATTCGAGTTATTCAACAGTATTGTTTTATCAGTTTATGACACTTTTGAATGAGAGATCAAACCTTATAATTTTGACTGCCTAGTCTTTTTCCAGCTACAACTCTGGTGACTGGCAGTTGAAAAACTACCCAGCTATGAGAAAAAAATATCAACTTGAATCATTTACAAATTGATCATCAAATTTAAGCTGAAATTTCAACTTGATATGAACAAGATATAAACCATTTTATGCATTCATTAAATATTCCTTTAGATTTTGATATCACAACGGAGGGAAAGTCTAATTCAAGCAGACAAAACAATAAGAATTGGTGACTTAAGGATAGCTTAGGTGATATGAATTAAAATCAATCACTAAGGTGTGGACAGACGCATTAAATAATTACTTAAATCAACATACAGATGTAGTTTCACGCTTCTTGTTCATCTCTTGTTGTTGGGTTTTTCGTTTTACTGTATTCTCTTTAAAATTGTAGGAAATTCAAATAATTCTTCTAGTTGGTAGTCATCTTGGACTGAAATCATTTGGAGGAAAGTTGGAAAGCTGGCGGTACTGAACAGCTGTTTCGTTCTAGTATATGACTCCTCAGTATTAGGTACCCATGAACCCGTCCTACCGGGGATCGAACCCAGGACATTCAGGTTCCGTGGCTAGCACGATACCATTGGGCCACTGGGTCGGAATTCAGTGGTTCATATTTCCAACTTCTGTCAGTTCCTGAAACAGAGCGGCCATCTGTCAGTTCTATCCCTGGTAAGGTCATCGGTTCACACTGTTGAAGAGTCCCATACCCATCATCATCAATCATCAATAGCAACATAGGACTAGGCATTACTGCGTAACGGTCCAACTTGCCACACCTCATATCACTACATCAAGTAGAAAGGTAGTGAAGTGGGAGATAAAGAAAAGAAAATTCAGTCAAAGAAACACAAAGTACGAGAAGAAGGAAAGGAGGAATGACAAAATGGTGAGATTCGCTACAGCATCGTTAAGATGAGGATAATTAATGTGTGTGTATACATCTGCACCACTGACATCGGTTCTCAGCCATGTGACCACCTAGAGTCAGTCTCCAACCAGTGGTTTCTCTTGTCCCGCCGACCCCAACCATCTAGTCTGCATCGCCCCACATGGCTCAAACCAACAGTCAAACACTTCATACATTGGTGCCATGTTTTAGTGTGGCCACCTCGGGCCTTTCACCAGCCTAGACCTACTTCGGCCAACACGTGTGTGTGTGTGACGAGGCAATCGGTGACTAGGCATACGTAGTACGTGTCCTAACAATCTCAATCGATGAAGGTTCATAATCTCGTCAACCGACCCAACTCTACTCCCTAGAATTCTATACTTGACTTCTGCATTACTCACGTGGTGACACCATGGAATACGGCCTATACTAGGAAGTCAACGGTGGTCAAACACTTGAAGCCTTCTCATGTGTTCCACTTTCAATGGCCATGTTTCACAGCCATACAGGAGAACAGAACGGACTGCAGTGCAGTAAACGCAACCCACTCAAAGTATTATTATTATTATTATTATTATTATTATTATTATTATTATTATTATTATTATTATTATTATTATCAGAAGTAGTATAAGGGTGGTTTGACCATTGAAATAAATGAAGTATTATAAATAGTTTGTGTTTAAAAGGAAAACAGGCCAGTAAATATGAACAACCACTGGGATTCTTCCACACAATATAAGTATCATTTAAAACAATTAATCCGTTGTCTACCCCTATATTTTCTACTTGATTAACTCCTGTGACTATGTGATTAGAAGGATTAGAATTTTACTCTTATATTTTAGATTCATGTCTAGTTTAAGGGAGAGTAATTTCCTTATGTGAATCAGTGGATATATATATGCTTGACTATGTCGTAGATTACAAGTAGACATGAAGCTTGGTTTTCATGATTTGAGTCAATAGGCAGGAGGTTATGGATTGAGATTCATACTTGTTAACAACTGTCATGAGTAAGATATAACCACAATCTGTAAACAGACGGACGGACACAGTTAGATAGATATACAGACAGGTAGACTGACAGACAGGCAGTTTCGTACTTTTTGTTTTATTCACTATTTCTCATCTTTAAGAAGTAACCGTTCATTAAATTTCGTTGATTACTTGATAAAGCCCTATTGAAAAAGCGATTAGTTGTAAAAGAAAGTCGCATCTTATCTCATTTCATCTGATCTTTCCAACTTACATTTAGATGTATATACTTTAATATACGTTTATGTGTAAGTATGTGTAGAGCATTCCCGTGTATTGTATCAATGATAGGCAATCGATGGAAACGATACTGTAACAACATTTTTGATGCATTCAATAATGAACACTCAGGTGTAACATGCACCAATGGAAGGATAGCAAACTTTTTATTGATCTCTATAGAAAAACACAAAAACAATAAGTGAATAAATAAAAGCAATTCTAAAAAGAAATTATCCCAACGTCATAGAACCTACCCAGTGACCTTGAAAATGACCAATCAGCAGCGAGTGTGTTATTTTATTCGGCTTTTCCATTTCATACGTAAAATAATGAGATTTTCGCAGCGAATTATAAGAGCAAAAATGAATTTTAAAAAACAATCAGGTAGTTGAAAAAAATCAGGAATTGGAATTCTAAAGCAAAAAAAATAAAACTAGTTTGAACGATCTACGAATGAGGTGATTCTAGAGGTCACAACTACTGAAATAACCAATTGGAGTTCTTTACTTTTATGAAATAATTATCTTTTCAATGGAAATAAAGCAACCTAACTGGTCATTTCAGTCGCTGTTAGGGTAACATTTAAAGTCAATCACTTTGCTCTTTAAGTTATCCTTTTTTGAGTTTATTATCTCATCGTTGACTAGACACAATTGATCGATGTCAGTTAGTATTTAGGCTGCTGCGAAGACACCTCAATAATGTCTCTTGTTTCGATTTTTATGCGAAAGATGGATGATAGCTAGCGGTGGAATCCAGGATGCGTATTTCGTCCCATTTAGGACTCGTCTACTGGATATGCCCGTCTTCCAGTGAGTGATGCCGTCCCCGAACCCTGGACTGATTCCACTGCTAACCATTATCCATCATTATTATAAAAACAGAAACGACGACAGTCCGCGTCATGGGCGCCGCACATGAGCCCATAGACCAAATGAGACCGATCACTTTCCTCCAATCAACGATGAGACAATACAGCAACCACATAACTATAACCTCCGCACAAGAAGTGGTTGTTGTGACTCGGTGGTCCAGTGGATAGCTCTCTCCTGTTTGCAGTCATCAGTCCCGGGGTAGAGTCTTAATGGGAACAGCATAACTCATTGGAAGGAAGCACATTCAACTGATGAGTCTCAAATAGGAAGGAACAAGCACCTTGGATTCCACCTGTAGCCACCGCATATCATTATTATAGCCAAGTAGTAAATTCTCCTTTCAGGGTGGAAGCTGAAACGTAGATGATTTTAGACTGAAACAGTAGATAAGACGTAAATTGGAGACAAATTTTGCATTTTTATGCATGTACTTTTATCACAGCTAAAAATAAATCAAGGTTGTCTGGCAGCTGTTTTTGGTTTCAGTTGTGTGTGTATTTGTCTTTCGCCTACAAAGATAATTTAATAGGCTGATGGATTCAAACTATAAGTCTGAGTGACTAATTATTATCTTAACAAACCCTGAAATAAACAATTTTCTTTATTTGTCCCTTGGGTTCCTAGTGGAACATAGGGATTCAGTAACACGTCTCCATTCCACTCTGTTCTCTGCAGTCTTTTGAACCTGGCTCCACCACTGCCCACAAGCTTTCATTTCTTCCTCACATGATTTCCGCCATGTCACCCTCGGCTCAGACGCCCAAACTCGTCGTTTCGTATTTGGATTCCACTTGACGACCTGGCGCGTGATGCTCTCGAATGGTCTTCTCAGTGTATGCCCAGTCCACCTCCACTTTATTCCTCTGCATATGTGTTGGGCAATGGGTTCTTGGTTGGTTCCTTCCCAGAGTTCCTTGTTGCTTATTCTTCCCGGCCATCTAGTCATCAATATCGAGTGAGTTTAGGCGGCAGCTGTTGATGTGATGTATGTCTGATAGTTTGTTGGAAATGCTTTTCGTAATGTGCCAAGTCTCTCAACTATCACATAGAAGCACTAACTTGACTGACTTAGTGTTGAAATCCGGGTCTTGTTCCACATGCTAAGTGCAAAAGATCTCCACACTGGTTTCAGATTAATGAAGGCCTATCTGGCTTTTCGGGTCCTGTCTATGATGTCCTCATCTGTGCCGCCGCCTGTTGTTGAACGATGCCAAACGAGTACTTCCTTTAGGTTCCACCCGTTCATGGCGTCCAGACCAAAAATATTTTGGACAAATCATGGAGGATGAGATTTGCAGAATAATGAAATGAGATTAGTTGATTTCACAGACACTCGTCAGCTGTTGTATACATTGGAAAAGCATAATGATGATTAGCACATAAGATGTTTCAAAGTAAGCAAATCAATAATCTGATGTTGTACAACAAATTCATTGGTCAATTTGTGTAATATATCAGAGAATTAATTGTACACAAGTGTAAGAAATATAATAGAGGATTATTTAAGGTTTAGCTAACGGTAAGTGAGGAAAATAAAGAATTAAGTCATTATCATGTCGACGATCTGAGATAGTTGTGAATCAACAGGCTAGTATCGATCGATACTGGGTGATGATTGGAATGGAAATTTGGACCACGGTGGGATTCAAACCAGTGACCACTGGATTTCTAGCCCAATGGTAGCTGGTTCGAGTCCCGTCACAGTCCGAATTTTCCCGTCATCTTCACTCATCACCCAGTATCAGTTATGTAATTCAAATGGGACAAGATCAAATTCTAGTCACCAAGACAGTGAGAGATTGACTCTACTCTCCTTCTACATGCAGAGGTCAAACTGAAATCGTTTTATGGTAATCACTTCCGTCAAGAATGTTAGTACACACATTTTCTACACGTTCATTGTTATGAAAGCAGTTGAGGAATCAACCTGATGTCCTCTATCTGTGAGGTGTCTGCTAACCGCACCACTTAGGATCTTGCTTCCTTCCAGGCGTAGACTTTTGGGGGTATGTTTAACGAATTGAATGGATGTTCTCCTCTCAGTCCTTCCAATGTACTGCAACTTCATGCAAACTCATTGATGAGATTGGAGGTGAAATGATAGAGTAGTTATCCAATTCGGACTGGTTCAGTCAACATGCTGTATTGTATAGTGATACAGGTTTGACTACAGGAAAGCTCCTTGTTAGTGCTCCTTTTATTCTCCACTCTATTCCCTTGGATATTACATCTTTGTTGAATGCAACCTGAGCAAAATACTTTCCCTTTCCAACAGTTCAGTGTGTATTTCTCTCCATCTCTTCTTTTTCATACTTCATAATAGACATCTTAGGCTATCCATCCTCTCGATGACACTTCTCAGTAGTGCTTAGTTCTTCTTCTAACTCCGCCCTAGAACATAAGTTTCTAACTCTGGTGTAAAGTGTTCCCAATACTTCACATTTATAGACGACAGGACAGGAAGTGTATAGTCCGATCCATGTGGCTCTTTTATGGATGGACTTTTCCATCGTATCATAAATTATTCTCCCCACCTTCAGGTCCAGATAAAATAAACTCATTGCCATACTCATATTTCATCGTGAATTTGATGTTGAAGTGAGCCTCGTTGTGTCATGTAGTTGTAAACAACTAAGGAATGATAAGCGTAACTGCCGTAATAGGTTTTCCCAGTGATGGCTAAACTCATGTACATCGTTCGAGATAGCCCATGAGGATATCTGTCAGGATAGATCCTAGAGATGAACTTATAGCTACTCCACCAATCTGTCAATGAGGTTAATTTTTGAGTTGACAACCGACATCTTTTGTCTAAATGAGTAGTAACTATTTGATGTTTGAAATAATGGAGAATATTTGTAGCTCAGGTGAATAGTCTTGGTTGTATTGTGTTCTCTGAAATGGGTTGTTTAATCGTGAAGCTTTCATTGTCTTTGTGGACGACATCATGAGTATTAACTTCAGTATGAAGTGAGCTGTCAATATCTCTCTGTGAGTGATTTAGCGGTTTACTCTGAAGATGTGGTCTGTGATTAGTTTTTTCCTTCGATTGTTGTGTCATTGATTGTATAGACTTTCCTGTTGGCTGTTCCCTGGTTGATCTGTGACTTTCTATCGTTTATCATTTTTCAACAACAACTGATGTATAGGCATACACCCAATCTATCAACCAATAAGAAAAATGATAAATGACAGAAAGGTGTGAGGTGAAGCAGAGGAACAGCCAACAGGAAAATCTATACAGGTAGTCAATGATACAGCAATCAAAGGAAACAACCAGTCACAGACCACATCGTCAAAGCAAGCCACTAAATCACTCACGGAGAGATATTGACAGGTCACTCATACTGAAGGTAGTACTGATGATGTCGTCCAGAAAGACAATGAAAGCTTCAAGATTATTTTGATGTTTATTTCGGTTAACAGTATTAGACCAGTTTACTGACAGATTATATCAATCGTTTTACTAACTGCAGTATTTGTATATAAGGAAGTCAAACGTCATGGCACCATGAGGTTATCTCAAACGTCGATATGATCTTTTTCTAATTGAGAAATTAAAATCAAACTTTGTTGTGATAACTAGTTCAATCGGTCAATCAATGATTTCACAAATCGTTATTGTTTGAATAGTAAGAATAAATGATAGTGATATTTAACCATGTTTGCATTTAGAAAGCAGTTTTATAGTGCATAAAGATACTACTGATAAACGTTGATCAGTATTCAGGAATACACAAGATGAAATTGGCAGATCTGCAGTCATCAGTCAGTGTATCGTAAACCAATCCTACCGGAGGTCTGTTGTGACTTGAATGGCTCAGTGGTGACGTGGGTTCCATTCTTCTCACAGTATATCAATTCGATTGAGGTCGCAAATGCTCCTTTCTTGCAATACCAATAAGCGTGAACACCAAGTCAAGTAGGATTTCCTGCAATTCACCTACAATTATCTAACGTCAATCAAACAGCATTATGGTAGTGCATCCTCCTATCGTAGTGACCACACTGAAAAATGGTCGATTGTACTCAGTGACAACTTATGAATAAACAAGATAAAATGACTACTCACTAGTCAGTAATCAATGTATATATCTCTTTTCTTTTCAAATGAACTACCAACGTATCGTATTCAGCTTGCAGTGTTAACATATAGGATAGATCTTTCACGTGTCTACCGATCAGCTGATTAATGGTTGTCTGGGACAAAGTCAAATCATACAGG